TTTGGAATCTATCCCCCAATTCCTCCGCCATGAACCCTAATCAAGTTACTTCGCACAATATCCAACAAAAATTGATCAAGACTCTAAAGAAATAGAAACCAGCAACAAAGAGATCTACGCCCCACAGAAAACAAACTCTTCTACAAGAGAATTAAACTCTCCATTGAGAGAATCGCCCTCTCCATTGAGAGAATCTTTTATGCAATTCTAAATTAATCCTATGTAAATGTAATAATTAATTAACATGCATAAACAATCATGCATTTCTAAATTAGTCGCATGCAAATACAATAATATTAACATGATAAATAAATAAATAATTAATGGCATAATGAATTTAAATAAATAAATCCACTATTATGGCCATTAAATATTGAGTTCCCATAAACAAGGAAACTTTGTATTCTTTCCATGTTCAACTGGAACTCCCACTGCAGCAGAATACTGGTTGATATCGTACTGCTTGCCCGCCATGTAAAACCTCTCCATCGCTTAGAAGCCTGCCGCCGCCGCCCGCCGGTGGTCGAAAATCGCTGGTGGTGGATATTTTTTTTTGTTTTTGTTCTCGCGCGTTTCGTGCGTGTTCCTCCGGGCTTCGGTCCGGTTAGATTTTCGAGACTCGTTGATCTCTTGTGATCTCCCAGAAATCAATGGACAATCACAACACGAAAAATATAATTTACAACATTACATAGTCCTATCTTAGATCCAACGAATTGATGTACATGTTTTTTAAAACAAAATAATTAAATCTATTCGGTCAACCCCCGAGCGAATAATTATTACAAACATTCATCCATGAATTCCTCGCCATGTCCGAGGCTTTAAAAACAAATTTAAAACCATACATCACATTCAATAACATTCATCAAACACGTATTCGTCCATAATAGTGAATTAAACTAATTCCTCCAAAACCGAGTTATGCGAATATAATCCAATATATGGTTGCTTTTGAACACATCTTGTTAAATAAAGCCGTAACAATTCAAACTTGTACAAAATAAAATAAACCTAGTGCTCTGATACCACTTGTTGGGATCTATGAGGATCTCGTTATGTACAAATCACAAATTCAATAGCAAACATAAACCTATGCGCAACGGATTTAAAGGTTTGCGTAGAAAACTTACGGCTTAAAATTTTTGGGCTCGGCGAGCTTCCGGCTCCGGTCCAGTCGGTTTGCGGCGGACGGGTCGGCGGTCCTCGGCCTTTGGGTCTTGGATCGTCGTTTGCTGTAGAAGATTATCGGGTCTCGAACACCTATTAATCTTCTACTGTATATGTAACGCCTCATTTCTTTATGGATAATTGAGATTATTATTATTGTTATTATTATTATTATTATTAT